TGTAGAAAAGTGAGTCAAGCTGCCCACTGAGTATATAGATGCTTCATTGCTTATGTGCTACACCACGGTAGGAAATGAAAGGTAAAGTTTTGAATCTAGAAATGTTACTTGTCCTGATACATAACCTACTGTGTTTTCAGAGAATCCGAGAACTGGAGGATAAGCTGGAGGCCCAGAAGCGCCACCTGAAAGAACTGGAGGAGAAGGTAGGTGGCCAGGCTCGGGCCGGTCATGGGCTTCTTTCCAGGAGGTGTTAGCACGAAACCTTCTCTCCCTCCTGCCAGTGTCCTGATGCCCCAAGACAAGGCTGCGTCCCCAGCCCTCCCTTTCCCTGCCCCGATCCCCATCACCCCGCCCCCCAGCAGTAAGTAGCTCCTTCAAGCACTTCTCTAGGGAAGAAAAGTACAGTTTGGGACCAACTGTCTGTGGGGTGGCATGGGGGCATGTCTCCTTTTCCTCACAAAAGACCTTCCGCTGAAGCCCTCTGACACTACCTCACTAGGAAAAATGAAGCGACCCTTTTTTTGGAGTGATAAGTCACGTCAGACTGTGGTTAGGCTGGCGACACACACTAGCCACAGACATTGGTTATCTCCCATGGACTCATTTACCTTGAATGACTCCTATATGCCCCAAACTGTGGGTTCTTGGAAGTCTCTTCCCTCCCAGAAGCAAGCCAGGCTGACCTGTCACAGGTTGACACCAAGCCCCATCTGTCTTTCTATGGGTATTTCCATTTTAGGGGTGAGAAAACTGAGCCTGAGATAGAGTCAGACATGGTCCCTGATCCCACAGCTTGGAAGGGATAGCTGGGGTCTCCAGGAACCTGCTGCCCACATCCTGACAAAGACATGTGAGTCCTGCTTGGGACCCTGTGTGCACCATCTTTGTCGCAGCACTTACCATCTCCCGTATGTCTGCTTGGGGACAGGGACCAGCTTTTATTCATGCCTTCATTCAAGACAGTTCTGGCTAGAGAGCAGGGCAGCATCACATGTTTGTGGGCAAGTAACAGCCGAGTAGAGAGAGAAACAGTAAGCATTCTGTGCACAGAGGCGAGCCCCTGTGTGTGCAGCCACTGCGGGGAAGAGTGGTAAGACGCATTTGGGGGCGTCAGGTGTCTGAGAGAGGAAGCCAGCCCATTCCACAAAGTAGGAACAAAGTCACAGGAGTCGCCCGAGGACAGATTTCAGGACTATCTAAAACTAGGGTGACAGCCCCTGCCTGTCCTGGAGGGAATCAAACACAGTGAGCCCGAAGGGACAGGCCAGCTCTTCAGATGCGACACCAGCGTCAGGAGCCCGCCCGCAGGCGGGTTGAATCCACCGGCAGCCCAGTGTCTCCGGCCTGCACCTCCAGGAGTGTCCTCAGGGGGGCAGCAGAGAGTCGCGGCTGGAGGCCCCAGGGCAGGGGTTTGGGGCGGGTGTTCCAGCCAGATCCGTGGCGGCCCCCGCGGGAATTCCGGTCCCAGTGGATTCCTAAATCAGACGGGAGAGGCTCACCCATGAAGACCTCACTGGCTATGCCCTTGGTCCGGGAGAGAAATGTCTGAATCCTCTTTCTGGCTCTTTTTCACTCTTTCCTCAAAGAAAACGTGTGTGGATTGGTCTATCTGCTTTTGTCACAGAAGGGAGTTGCCGAGGCTGGCACACAGAGCAGATGGCCTCCTGTAGGGCCAGAAACACCCAAAGATGTGTGCACCCACGTCAGCATGTCCCCGCCACGGGCACAGCTGGCCTGTGCTGCTGGAAGAGCGACTCCAGCGCCATTGTCAGGGGGCTTTGTCCTGGCCAACCCCCTCCCTGCCGCACCCCACTGGGTGGTCTGCACAAGTCCTCCGCCCCCAAACCCCCAGGCCTGTTTTCCCACTTGGGAAATGAAGAGCTGGGTGATTGCACAGGCCCCTTCTAAGCTCTGACTTATGATGATTCTAAAATTTGTTTGAAAGTTGGCTGCTATCCGTTTGGATTTTAATTTTTAAATTAAAAGTTATTACCATGTTTTGGATTAAAAAAAAAAGAGAATTATTTTCCAGAGTCTCAGATGATGTCAAAATCTACTTTCAAACTGACCTGTATAATTTTTCCTTCCTTTAAATCCCTTCTCCCTCCCCTCCCCCCAACTCTTGGGCTTGTTTTTCTTAAACTAATCAAATGGTCCAGAAGATTTTCAAACAGGGACTTCTCTTGGGAGAGCAGGTCCCAGCAGGGATGGTGCAGGGGCAGGGGGTTCTGTTTGTCTGCGGGCTGGACGGGGTAACCTGTGACCCTGAGTGGGGCCTCCGTGACCCTTGTGTGCACAGCGCTTGCTGGAGCAGCCACGATCAGAGGGCCCCTCCTCTCCTTATAAGGCGTCCTGCCAAGGTGCTGCAAGAAGGCCTCATCTCAGCACCAAGGAGCCCTGGTGCACGGTGTCAGTCCCTCCGTCTGAGTTAACGAGGTGTTTGGGTAGTGCACAGGGACACCCCACCCTGACCGGGTGCAGCCTGCTCCTGAAGCCCATTTACTCCCTGTTTCTCCTTCTGAACCCGGGGTTGCAGTTCTTGTAAAATGCTGTCCTTGTCCATACTACATAATCTCACATCTTTTTTTCCTTTCTTTTCTTTTCCCTCATTTTCTTTTGGTCTTATTTTATAGTTTCTGTTCCTTTTTTTGTTTTTCTCACTAGCATTCATTCTGTGGCCTTGATGACTTCAGTGAGCCAAGAACTCAGGTTGGTATCCTTTCATTTTCATGGATAAAAGTGGTGATTTTCCAAAAAGGGAGCAGTCTTCCCGACGCTAATGTGACATTCCCTGAGCGACAAGGGGCCGCGGAGGGCGGCCTGGCGGCTGACTCCTCAGCTCTCTGGCCCATTGGGCCGGGGGCGTGGGCAGCCTGGGGTCCCTGGGAAGTCCTACCCCTGGGAAGCAGGTCAGGAGAGCTCGCTGTGAAAGGACAGTGGGGCCCTGGCTGCTTCCCACTGTATTTCATCTTGAAAAGGGCAAAGATTCTTTCCATTTTGTCCTCAGTTTCTGGTGGTTTACTTGGCCTGTAGGTCAGTAAGGCCTCTGTAGGGTCCTGACCATAGTGGGCTCCCGGGGTCAGAGGTCTGCAGGAGCAGGAAGCCGCAGCACAAGTCCAGGACCTGCATGAAAAATGCCCAGGAAGCCTGGGTAAAGAGCCCCCGGCTCTGTGCTCCTCCCGGTCCCCTTGCCCCTGACCCCGAAGCCTGGCTTTGATGTCTGCGCCACGCTCGGGGACCTTCCGGTGGAAGCCGTAAGCATTTGGTCCTCTGATCACTGGGCGCTGGGCGGCCCCAGGACCCTGCTCTTCCCCAGCTTCCTGTTTTGGCACCAAGTCCTTGCCCTTCTCTCTGCTCTGATTGCCCCCCTTGGGGCTTGGGGCCGATGGGTCTCCCAGGGCCTCTAAAGTCTAGACTTCTGGCCTTGAATCCTGCTGAGAGCAGTGTGAGCTCTGGGGGTGCCTGCAGTGCTCCCTGGCTGCCTGGATCCCCTGTCCTGGTCCTGGTGTCATTGCCCTGAGCCGAGCCCTGTACGCACAGCCCTTGCCTTCCATCTTCTGTGTCCCTGGGCCTCAGCCAGTGCCTGGCACAGGCTGGTGCTCGTTCAGATTTGTGCGGTGAGTAGAGGAATGATTCCAGGTCTCATCAGATTGGGAGTGGAGCAGCCATCGGTGGTGGGGGTGCTGCCCGGAGGACAGGGACCCTGCCTAGCCTGTCTTCTCCTCCACTGGATTGCTGGGGAGACCCCTCAGGACGTAGTTCAGGACAGCAGTGGGGGTAGGGAGGCCGATGATTTAGGGGCTTTTCCCACCATTTTAACCCTTAGTTCTTGAGTCATTTCAAACTATTTTTTAATCTTACAGGATAGGAAAAGAGTTTATGGAATAAACTGAGTCCCTACAGCAACCCCAACCCCATTGAAACCAAAATTCAGCAGCAAAGGAAGCTATTCCAAGCCCAGAGACTGAAATCAGAATTCACGTGTACTTGGCGACAGCCTAAAGGGGAGGCCTTGTGGACCTGTGGCTGGGCCCTGGCTCGGAGGGGCTGAAGGAGTTCTGCAGGGACCATGGGGATTTTGTCAAGCTCGGGGCCACATCTGAGACCCCACTGGCACTTGCAAGAGCCCAAGGGGCAGAGACCTGAACAACAGGAAACTAAGTGCCATTACGGGAACCTGAGTTGCCAGAGAGCCACCGCACTGTCTGGGCCCAGCCAGAGTCCTTGGCCCTCTTCTGCCTGCCCTCCCGGGCCACAGTGGCACACCTGGCTGAACACAGACCCGTGTACTCGTGTCTCCAGAACTGTGCTCTGTGCATCTGGAATCTGTCGGCCAGAGTGACTTACAAATGTCCTTATGATCTGAACCCAAAGTCAAGCCCCAGCCAGCAAAACCTTCCAGATCCACATGCAGCTGGACTCAGCATCTGGCAGCCAGCAGGAGAGAGCAGGACACTGCTGAGGGGCTGGAGCCCTGCCCACTGCAGAGGGAATACCCCAGGGGCCACAGATTTCTAAGGGGGAAGCCACAGGATCCATCCCTTTCGCAGGCATGACACGGCACACGTCCCAGAGCATGACTGTCCCTGGGGCCGTGCGGAATGAGGACTGAGAGGCGGACGCAGCCCTGACTAGACCATGCTTGGGCCGTCTTACATCCTGGTTGTGGTTTGCAGGAGGCTGTCCAGGAAGAAATGGTGGCCACTGAAGTGCCCTTGGAGCGCGTGAGGGAACAAGGCCCCTTCCAAAGCGTCTGAGACCAGGTCTGCTCTCTTACAGTCATGGAGAAGGAAGGAGCCCTTCCTGATCTCGGGAGACTGGCCCCTGAGCCAAGCCTCCCAGGAGATGGGGTGCGGCAGCCAGAGGGCAGGGCACCAGTCGGTCAGAGTCAAGCCCAGGAGGGAATCCTGGAGAAATGAAGTTACTTTTGGATGTTTTTGCTGTTGTTATTCATGGGTGGGTGGGAGAGGGGGATCCCCAGAAGAGGCACCCGTCCTCTCCCAAACTTTTGGAAGGAGTCAGAATATATCAAGTGAAATAGATGATAGTGAATGTGAAAGAAGGGGTGACAGTGTCTATGTTGAAGAACCTGATGAGGGCAAGGATGGGGTGACCCCAAGGATGGGGAGAGTCCCTGCTCCGTGTTTTTTGGGCTGCAAGAGCAATCCCCTTATTTCTAGTGGGAAGAACCTTCAGAGAAAACTAAAATTACTGTGATTCAGACCACTGAGGGATCTGTGGGGGAGGGAACCCAGAAGAGGGGCTGAAAGTTCTTAGAAGGGCAAATCCCAGGATGAAGAAGGACATGATGATAAGCACAGAAGGGGCCCCCCAGCCAGATGGGGAGGGACGTTCAAACCAAACCAAAGGATTGGGGGGCTCTCAGCAAGTGCACACCAGGACAATTGAGAAGAGACCATTCTCTTGTGAAGCCTACACTCCAAGCACTTGCTGCACTAGCCTCCATTGACTCACAAACACGTGGTGACCAAATGTGAACAGACTGAAGTTTTGCTTGAAAAAGCAGGCATCTGAGCACTCCAGGTGGGGGAGGGGGTGGGGCAGCAGGCAGCAGGCAAGAATGAAGGGCGCATCTGCGCTCTCTGGGCCAAGGAGGCGCACAGAGCACTGCTTTGCTGAGTTAACAGGCAGAAGCCCCGGAAGCGCACGTGTCTCCGAGGAGCTGCTCCGCCCGCACGGAGTGTCCATCCTCTCCCTGCTGCAGGAGCGTGCTGGAGGGTGGTCCTCATGCCCTCCTGTCCCTGTCCTGTCTGCTCAGCTCCCCCACCCAGGCAACAGGACAGGAATGGCACTGACTTTGAAGTCAGACCCACCCGGGTTCACTCCCAGCCCGGCTGCGTCCCTCCAGCAGATGCTGGTCAAGTACTTGCTGCTCTGAGTCTTAATTTCCTCCTCTGTGGAGTGGGGGTGATGACTCCCCTGCAACACCTTACAGAAGGCCTTCTTTACACACAACCAGACCTACAAGACTCCTGGGTGCCGGCAGGAGGCACCACAGGCAGCACGCGCTGCTCCCCAGTGGGCGTCCTCCTCAAAGGAGACCATACAGCCAACGCAGGACCGGGAGCCGTTCTCTTTGGCCCCCTGGACACCGCGCAGGTGCAAGGGAATGAGGCAGGTATGCGAGCTGCCCCTGCTTAGAGACCCAGAGTCCCTCATAGGAACACTTAGGATAGTCCCAGACACAGCTTTTACGGTTCCTGTGAGGGACCGGCTTGGTTCCAAGCATCCTTGCACTGAGAGAGCCTCAGAGCTTGGGCAACCCACCAGGAGTGCACTTCTGCTTCAGCCACAGCCCTCCGTGCCCGGGTCAGGTACACGCCTCAGGATTGTGGCCGTTGCCTAGTAACACAGCTGGTGTTCTACGTGTGTGTGGTTTCTAAGGAAGCTGAGCTCTAAGGTCAGCAGAACACAACGTTAATTTCTCATGCAGAAAGGAAAAGGGTTGAGCCCACCCTTCCCCACCACCCTCCCACCAATCTACTGGGAGGATGAACAGAGAGCCTGGGCCAAGTTCTCCTGCATAGGGACAGCCACACAGTGTGGCTTAAATGCATGACCACCCTGACCCCTCACTCCCCCGTGAGGAAAATGCGGAGGGTGGGGCTGTGCTGAGCTGATGCTTCTCGAGTTAGCTCAACCCAGAGGTCCCAGATTTTGTGACTGCGCCCAGCACTGGGGGGCCCTGGAGAGGAGATGTGGGTGCATGCCCTGACCCACGTAGGGGACTGTGGTTGCCTCAGAGAGTGGGACACCATGCCTTAGCACAAGCTTTAGCGCCTTTCTAAGTGAATTCGTTATCTTTCCTTCCATGGGCCACTCTTGGCCCCCTCCCTGGCCGCCCTCCCACACCGCAGGCTGACGGCCTCACAGTCTGGTTTTCCTCCATGACCAGCTTATGACAGAATCTTGCCTGATGCCCCCGGTACAAACAATGGCATGTTTGTTTTTGTTTGTTTTCTCACATTTTACCAGAACCTGCTGGAAGCCTGCCAGATTGGGTGCGAGGTTTGGGATGCTCTTCCTTGAGGTTGTCTAAGAACCCCTAGGGGCTTCCTTAGACCCAAACTATGCCCCAGATTCCATCTCTGTGGCAGGTGTGGCCATGGCCCTCAGACTGCTGGGCTGGCCCCCTCCCCTTCCCTCCTCCATCTCTCTGGGGTTGCCATTCCGTATGAAGGGCAGACTCCAGTGCCCTACTCTTGGCTAGGGTCTGTACCCCTCCTGTGACCACTCTCAGCCTTGCGGAACCTCTCCTTGTAAGGTCCTGTCCTTACAGCTGCCCTAGGCTAGTCTGTCCCCCTCCCTACCCAGGTCTCCACCCCTGGGATGCCTGCAGGGGTTGATATCCCACAGACAGGCCACGTTCCTGTTTATCTCCCTAAGATGGAGAGGGCTCATTCCAACTGAACCNCATCTAACCAGAATGTGATGTGCATCATGGGCAATCTGCTAAGAGATTTGAAAAGACAGAAAGAAGTCTCACCCCTTATTAGCAAAGCAGATAGACCCCATTCCATGACATGTAAACAAGAATTAGTTCTGAAAAAAGAGGAATTGACAGCACCATTTGTTACACATAGGTTACCCCAGATTCCCTTGGCCATTGGGGTGTCCCTCTGGGTTTGATAATTTTTTTATACAAAGGAAAATGGAACTTCTCTATCTGTATGAAAGGACGTGGTTTTGCAGCCTGGAGCCAGGCACCCACTGAAGTTAGCCTCTCACCCTCTCCAGGAACTGGGAGACAGGGATCCTATTTTCCCTGGATATTCACATCACAGACAGACAGAATGTAAGCAAGACATTGTGGGTCAGAAAGCTGGCAAAAGGCTTATTCAGCTTCAGAAGGATTTACATATATTTCTAAGAGATGAAGAAAGAACAAGTTTTCGAAAGTAAATCCTCTAAGGAAAGGGAGAGGGGAAGTCTCTTCCATTTATAAAAGGGAGAATTCAACCTCTTATTTTTAATTTTTCCTTGCCCTGCACTGCTCTGCATCAGGCCTGGTGCTCCGGCATCTCCTCCATGGCCAGCTGCCTCTATTCTTGTGTTGCAAACCACATGCACTGCCCAAGTCCTCATCCTGAGCTTAATGCTACGTGGTTATGGCCCAAGCCGCCTTCTGTCCTCGGCCCTCATTTCGCCTTCCGTGTGTCCACTGGGCGAACCAGACCCAGACCACTCCCACGCCCTTCACCCGCCTGATGTCTCGGGGCTTCTCCTTCCACCCGCCTCTGCCAGTTGCAATCTGTCTCCCCACCATTTCCCCAGCCACTGGCCCCCTCCCCCAGGATGTGTTTCTCTCGCATTCCTCACCTGTGGAGTTTTGGAGACAAACCCAGATTTGAATTTGCACCCTGCCATTTCCCATCTGGGGGCCTGGACAAGCATCTCCACCTCTGTTTCATCATCTGTAAAATGGTCGTGATGCTGCCCGACTCATAGGCTTCCCAGAAGGACTGGCATGGGTAAGATGAGATGGCACCCAGGGCACTGACAGTCCCCATGCCTTTTACCCGGCGAGCTCTGGGGCCTTGGTAAACATTTGATGTGCCCAGAGAGGAGGTGTAGAACTTCATTCACTGGAGTGAAGACTTGAGCTTTACCATTGAGAATTTATGACATTCTGACGGTCCTCCCTGGAAATCTTATTTCACCTCTTTGTACGCACAATATTAAGTGTTTAATTCCAAGTGACTCTTCTGTGACTTTTTCGTGCTTTGGGTGAGTTCTGGCATGCTGGCTTGTAAAGTGAGAGGCTTTCATTTATATTGTATGACGTGTGCAAATGAAACTTTAAAACAAAATCGTCTCCCAACCCAACACCCTCTCCACAAAGGGGACAAGAAAGAGAACAATTTTATTGTTGAATAAGCATCTAACCAGAATGTGATGTGCATCATGGGCAATCTGCTAAGAGATTTGAAAAGACAGAAAGAAGTCTCACCCCTTATTAGCAAAGCAGATAGACCCCATTCCATGACATGTAAACAAGAATTAGTTCTGAAAAAAGAGGAATTGACAGCACCATTTGTTACACATAGGTTACCCCAGATTCCCTTGGCCATTGGGGTGTCCCTCTGGGTTTGATAATTTTTTTATACAAAGGAAAATGGAACTTCTCTATCTGTATGAAAGGACGTGGTTTTGCAGCCTGGAGCCAGGCACCCACTGAAGTTAGCCTCTCACCCTCTCCAGGAACTGGGAGACAGGGATCCTATTTTCCCTGGATATTCACATCACAGACAGACAGAATGTAAGCAAGACATTGTGGGTCAGAAAGCTGGCAAAAGGCTTATTCAGCTTCAGAAGGATTTACATATATTTCTAAGAGATGAAGAAAGAACAAGTTTTCGAAAGTAAATCCTCTAAGGAAAGGGAGAGGGGAAGTCTCTTCCATTTATAAAAGGGAGAATTCAACCTCTTATTTTTAATTTTTCCTTGCCCTGCACTGCTCTGCATCAGGCCTGGTGCTCCGGCATCTCCTCCATGGCCAGCTGCCTCTATTCTTGTGTTGCAAACCACATGCACTGCCCAAGTCCTCATCCTGAGCTTAATGCTACGTGGTTATGGCCCAAGCCGCCTTCTGTCCTCGGCCCTCATTTCGCCTTCCGTGTGTCCACTGGGCGAACCAGACCCAGACCACTCCCACGCCCTTCACCCGCCTGATGTCTCGGGGCTTCTCCTTCCACCCGCCTCTGCCAGTTGCAATCTGTCTCCCCACCATTTCCCCAGCCACTGGCCCCCTCCCCCAGGATGTGTTTCTCTCGCATTCCTCACCTGTGGAGTTTTGGAGACAAACCCAGATTTGAATTTGCACCCTGCCATTTCCCATCTGGGGGCCTGGACAAGCATCTCCACCTCTGTTTCATCATCTGTAAAATGGTCGTGATGCTGCCCGACTCATAGGCTTCCCAGAAGGACTGGCATGGGTAAGATGAGATGGCACCCAGGGCACTGACAGTCCCCATGCCTTTTACCCGGCGAGCTCTGGGGCCTTGGTAAACATTTGATGTGCCCAGAGAGGAGGTGTAGAACTTCATTCACTGGAGTGAAGACTTGAGCTTTACCATTGAGAATTTATGACATTCTGATGGTCCTCCCTGGAAATCTTATTTCACCTCTTTGTACACACAATATTAAGTGTTTAATTCCAAGTGACTCTTCTGTGACTTTTTCGTGCTTTGGGTGAGTTCTGGCATGCTGGCTTGTAAAGCGAGAGGCTTTCATTTATATTGTATGATGTGTGCAAATGAAACCCGAGGCCTCCGCTCATAAATAATCCACCTGTTCTTGCTCTCCTCAAAGGATGTTTTCCTGCACAATCTGAAGGCCCTGCAGCTGCCTTGAAATCTCCAGAAAGTCAGTGTACAAATTCACTTAATTTTATTAAGTCTTGACCCATGTGAACTATGTACGGGATGGAGCTGACAGCTAAAGGACGGACTGAAAAACGTTTCAGCTATGTTGTCAGAGCCCCCAGCAGTGACGGGTTTGATACAGTGAATGTTGATGTGAAGATTGACACGTCCTGGATATTCCAGGACATAGAAGATGGTGGTGAGGAGCACGGGTGTCCTCCGGAAGAAGCAGCCGGAAGGCTGGGTGTGCATAGAGGGGCGCTCAGGAAGCAGCTGGACTCCTCAGAGCAGAAGCTGTTGCCAGCTGTGGGCAAATCCGTGATGTCGGCGTCCAGGCTGCAGAGCAGGTAACTATGCCATTTGGACCTCTTCTCTGTATACTCCCAGGGGGTCATCATCATGTTAGATGGTGTGTTGCATCATTTCCGTGGCTGAGGAAGCTGGCTCACCTCCGGTCCATCACCTGCTCTCAGTCCCTTCTGTCCTTCCCGTCCTCTGCTCCATGTCTCAGGGGCTGAGCCTGCCAAGCAGTTTCCCAGGCTCCCTTGCGCACTGGCTTCCATCTGCGCCCAGCCAATGGGAGGCACCAAAGGGAGGAGGAAGGGAGAAGTGAGGGTATTTCCCCCTCTCTTCTGCTCTGAGGCTCACCTCCAGCTGTGGCTGTCCCTCAGTCACCCCCTCTGCCTCCTGTGGTCCTGCCCCTGCTGGGTGGCCTGGCCCCGGGAACCCAGGACCACCACTTCCTGCCTGTGCGTCCCACCAGCCCTGGGGGCAGAGGTGGCTCCAAGCACTTGGGAATCTCTGGGGTGCCTGACATTTGTCCGGCCTTTCACATCTTCTGTCTCCTTTGTAGCAGATTCTGAAATGTTTCTTGCTGCTAAACTCCCAGGGGTGGGCTCTGTTTTCCTGGGGGAATCAACATGGGCCAGAAGTTGGTCATTTGAGTTTAGATCTCTCTCAAAGATTCAAAGCCCATGTTCTTTCCAGGTCATTTTTTGATACCTAGGCCGGCAGGAAGAGGGGGGGCCTTGTATGCATGTCAGAGGAGAAACAGCGTGGAAATGGAGTACGGCTGTAGCTGGAATCGATTCCAAGAGGCCCACCAATATTCCAGAGGCCTAGTGTCCTAAATCTGTCTGGGGCATCACCATTTTCTTGTACTTTCCTTCACTTTAATAAAATCAAGTCATTAAATGTGTATTTACATGTGCTTTACTTTTTTTCCCTTTATGTGAAACTTCTCACATGAAGAAATTCACGTATCAGGAAAATTATTTTGTTACTCTATGTGATTGTCCATTCACTTACTCCCTTACTCACTCATCACTCACTCACTCATTCACTCACTCACTCCCTTTTCATTCACTCATTCATTCCTTCTCTCACTCATTCATTCATTCTACAACCCGCACTTAGCCCCACCCACCAAGAGTCATGTACCAAGTACTATGAGTTGCTCAGGCTACTGTAACAAAGTCCCACAGCCTGGGGGCTTAAATAACAGAAATGCATTTTCTCCCAGTCCTGAAGGCTGGGAAGTCCAAGATCACAGTGTGGGCAGGGCTGGGTCCTTCTAAGGCCTCTCTCCTCGGCTTTCAGATGTCTGTCTTCTCCCTGTGACCTCAGATAGTTGTCCCTCTCTGTGTGTCTATGCCCTAAATCTCTTCTTTTATAAGGACACCAGCTGTATCAGGGCCCACTCTCGTGACCTCGTTTTAACTTATTTTTTGAAGACACTTTCTCCAAATACAGTCACATTCTAAGGTACTGGGGGTTAGGACTTTCACATATGAATTTGGGGGTCACAAATCTGCCCATAACATCATTCGTTGGGGTTGAGAGATGGGGAAGTTGGGGCCCCAGCCCTGGAGATGAGCATGCAACCCACACATGGTCATGCACTGAAATCTTCCTCCAGAAAGGCTGGCAGTGAATGCCAGAAGGTCAGCAGGCTAGAGGAAGGAGGATGGGAAACCTCTGCCAAAGGAGACTCCCCATGTGAGGGAGGGACGGGGCCCTGGGCACACCCTGAGCAGTGGAGAGGAGGGGACCTCTGCTGCAGGGGCCTGGGAGAGGCCGACCTGGGCCTGCCTGTGGGGAAATGAGGGCTGTACCTTCTGTCCCCTGAGGGTGGGGTGCACCATCTTGCAGGAGCGGGGAGCAGGGAGGGAGGCTGGATCTGTGGCTGGGGTGGAGAAGAAAAAGACGTCAACACTCACCAAGAGCCCACCAGGTGCTGGCTCAGGGCTTGCCCTGCACGTGCGTGCTCCATCATCACGCCCTCGAACCCAGTGACACACAGAGGCTATGACCAACCCCCTTTCCCACGTGGGAAACTGAGGCTAAGAGGATGAAATGCATTATCCAGAGTCACTGAGAACTGAGGCCAGGGTCTGAATATAGATTTCAGGCTGATTTCCCAATGGGTTTGGTCTAGCCAGGGAGGGTAAAGGTTGGTAGCATACATTGGACTTCAGTTAAAGGCTTAAAATTTTAAAGTATTTATAAAAATAATGAACAGCATTGTGAGAAATTTGGGAAATTAAACCCACACCCATTTTCATGACACTTTCGTTGCAAATTCATTTCTAATCCAAATGCAACAGGATTACCAATAACTGCACAGGCGTTGAGGGCTTGATCGCTGATAGGCACAGTCACATGCTTGGCATGGATCAAGAGAGTTAATCCTTTAAACAATACTAACAAGGACGTAACAGTGTTATTTTCAATTTACAGGTGGGGAAATCAAGCTGCTGGGTAGTTAAGTAACTTAAGGGTCACAACCCAGCTACGTGGGGAGCTGGGACTCAAACCCAGGCAACCTGCCCAGAACAGTGACTTCAGTCAGGAACAACCACGTTATCCTGCTGCCCCAAGGGGCAAGAGACTTTCACAGCACTCTTCGCAGCCCTGCATATATTAATATTTTTTAACTCGTCATTAATCAGTGAAAAGTGGTGCTTCAGTGTCTATTTCCTGTTTGTGAGTGTGTTTGTTTCCTATGGCTGCTAAAACAAATCACAATGAACTGGTGACTTAAAACAACACACATGCATTGTTTTGCAGTTCTGGAGGCAGGAGCCCTAAAGCTGGGTCACTGGGCGGGTCAGGGCGTCTGGAGGGCCAGGCTCTCCCCAGTGGCGGTAGTGGGTAGGGGGAATCCGTTTTGTTCCCTTTTCCAGCTTCTATAGCTGCATTCCTTGAATTCCTTGGCTCCTGGCCCCTTCCTTCAGCTTCAAAGCCAGCAAACAGCACCTGCCTCGTGGTCACATGGCCTTCACCTCCTGTATCTAATCTCCTCCCACCTCCCTCTTGTAAGGACACCTGAGATTGCAGGTAGGGCCCACCTGGATAATCCAGGTTCATTTCTCCATCCCAAGATCTTCAGTTTAATCACCCCTACAGTCCCTTTTGCATTTTAGGTAACACCCAAAGGTTGCAGGGATTAGAGGCTGGTTATAATTTAGGGTCTGTTATTCAGTCTGCCACAGTGAGGTCAGTTACTTTCTGCTTAAGGTATAGAAATAATAACAGAATTAAGTATTGTTTTATATTTAATGTTTCAGGCTGGTCTCAAAAACTAAAAAGAGAGACTTTTCTTGTCTCTTTCAGATATCACCACATTTTATACAGTCAGAAGGCACTCAGCCTGACTCTGATTAACCTGGGGCCACGCCTCAGGTTCACTTTGGAAGGAGCTTGATTATAAACCACACAAGAGGGCACACTCCCTTCTGTCACTCCTGAGACTCTCCCCCAGGGTCTCAGAACTAGAGTAGAAGAGGGGGCTCTTGGTCTTATTTTTCATAATAATGCATCATTTTATTTAATCTTCACAACAACTCTCTGAATAAGGGGCAATCATCTCTATTTTACAGATAAAGATACGGAGGGTCATAGTGGTGAACAAGCTCAGTTAAGGCCCCACGGCTGGTACGCGGCAGTCAGGAGGCAAAGACAGGTCCTCAGCCAGGGAGGCAGCGTTTGTCCTCAAGTAGCAGGTCGCCTGACCTGGACTTGGGGAAAGGAGAGGTGCTGCACAGAGCTTGTCCATGTAGGCTGTGAGCACACTTTTCATGTTTCCTGGTTTCCTATAAGAAAGGTAAGATTGGCCCACTAAGGGGATTTGAACTAGGAGAAGAGAGGCCAGACTGTGGTACCAGCAGCCCAGACTTTTCCCTCCAGGCTTCTTTCCATCCCTGCATGCATTTCCTCTCTGTGTAGCTGCGGTCTGTCTGGGTTCACATCCAGTCTGGGTACCACTTTGCGTGAGACCCAAGCTCCACCATCTCCCCAGGATAATTAAAAAGTCTTCAGGTCCCTAACTGTTAGACAGGTAGGCTGGTTCCAACTTCGCACTTTTCTAAGTACTACAGAGATGAATTCTTTTATTTGCAGAAACTTTTTTTTATTTTTCCTGAATTTCAATCCTTTCTTCAGAAGAGTTTCACAAGGGCATAGCTCAAATGGGGGGCAACAGAGCACAGGGTCAAAAGCGTGAGTTTGGGAGTCAGACAGTCTGGACTCCAAAATGCTGTGTGACCATGGGCCAGTTGGCTGGCCTCTCTGATCCTCAGTTTCCTTGTGTGTGAAGTAGGGGTAAGGGAATTCATCACAGGCTGGTAACAAGAGGATTACTTGTGACAATGCAGATAAGCGCTTAGCCTACAGGGCTCGGGCTCAGTCCCCTTAGGTGGGACCAGCAGACCTTGGGCACTGGTTTAGGGATAAGGACACCTTAAAAGTACTGATGTGGGTGCATTAGCACTCAAGAGATGTCTCTGAAGTATTTTAGATCATCTTGAAAAAATACGTATGAATGTTTTACAAAATGCAATTTTGTCAGAATGTCAAACTGGCCAAGTGACAAAAAAAAAAGGTTCACCTCGGTGTGTGTGAAAATCTTAGGCCGTGTTTACTACATCCTGAGTAAGCGCCTCCTGCCTCAATGCTACAGAATTCAGGAGCTGGAGCTGTCTGAGAGGGACCTTCTCCAGAGGGTGGACCAGCTGAGCGCCCGCGTGGTCCAGGAAAGAAGCGCCTCTCTCCGGGCCCAGGAGAAGCTGCAAGCACTGCAGGGGGAGCTCGTCAGCCAGGTACTGTTTTCCTTCTCTGCCCAGGTTCCAGCCCAGCAGGGTGACCCCATATATTTGGGCCAGCCCGTGAGAGCCCAGCCAGGGGGTTGGAGGGATCCTAATTCCAACGGAGCAGGCAGGGGCTGTGGGGTCTGTGGCAAGGTCACGTGGCCTCTGTGGGCCTCAGCAGCCTCATCTGTAAGATGGGATCCCCGCGCACTGTGCCAGTGCTTTGGGTGACCTGTGGGGGCTGGGCACCTGCTGGGAGCTCTTGTCAGAGATTCATTCTGTGGCCTTAGTGCCTAATAACAGGAGCTGGCTCTGGCCTAACATGAACTGATGGGTGATGCAGTGACCCTCCCTCAGGAGCTGTGTGCAGGTGGGGAGACAGGATACCAGTCACTCTACAGCTGGACGCTGGGTGCTGTGAGGGAGGCACTGGCACAGCATGTGTGTATGTGGGGGAAGCCATAGAGAATGGAGACATCTGATTTGGGCCTTGTGGGAAGGACATGCGAAGTGTGGGTAACAGCGTGGGCAAAGGCAGGGGCAGGTGGGTGAGCATACCCGGCTCAGAGCAGAGGGTGTGGGCGGGGAGAGGGCACTGGTGTTCCAGAGGGACTGAACCCCAGGGCCACAGTGTGGACCACATTCTGAAGGCAATGGGGCAGGCTCTGTAGGCAGATGCTGGAGGTCAAACCCTGGCCCTGCCACTCACTAGCGAGGGCAAGTGACCTAGGGCAAGTGACTTAACCTCTCTGGGCCTCAGTTTCCTCATCTGTGAAGTGGGATGATGGAGCAGCCACACCATCGGGCCTTGTGTGGGTTGAGTTCGAATGTGTAAACCACTCACAGCAGTAGGCATTTAGACAACATGGGCCACTTTCATAATTATTAGCCTGTATTGAAATACTCCAGGGGAGAGATGATGAAGGCCAGAGGTAGGGCAAGTTTAGGAATCGGAGGGCAGCTGTGTGCGGCACCAGTGATCCCCGGAAACACTGTTTCCATGGATTGCTGCTTACAGTCCAGTGCAAAGAGTGTCAAGTTGCAGGTTGACTTCCACAGTGGGTGGTGAAATCAATTCCGTGAGTCAAAACCAGCACTTAAAAAGCGGAATTGACTAGGAAACATGAATAGGCACCACATGTATGAAGGGGGGAGCTATTTCATGAAACTTCTGTCTCAGCTGTGCGTGTGTGCATGCGTGTAATGTGCATGGTGCTAAATGTGTTTCTTATAGTGGGGGACAGTTGAACAAGTTCAAGGAACACTGGTTTAGCCAGTGAACTAGAGTGTGGAAAGATAAGGAGTTCAATTAAATTGAAATTAGTCTGAGATGCCAGGAAGACATGTCAGGGCCGTTTTTTCCCCCTTTATATTGAACTCTTCACATGCAAAAAGGCGACTTAATGCTCCTTGGCTGGCGCATCAGCAGCCCCAGAGCTCTGAGCACTAGATGCAGTGGTGGGGTGTGGGATTCCACCAAAAATGGACTCGCTCTGTGGGAATGAGTTTAATAAAAAAAATTTTAGCCATTGCCTATATACATGTCAGATTTCCAAGGTGAGCCAGACACACAGACCTGCAATCATGAGATGTTCACAGTGTGATGGGGAGACAGAGGATGCGGGTGCTTGGCCTAAATCTCTCGCTAGAAGCACCTGCATTTCACAGCACGTTTTGTCAGAGTGCGTGAATGAGTTGTCTATGCCCTTTGCACTTGATAGCTTCCACATGGCAGGTTTACTCAATTGTTGTCAATATTCCCAGCAAGCATTTGCATACAAAGACAGCTCATTTCTGTAGTGATCTGTGGTCATTCTGAAAGCTGATAGAGGCAGATCCGTCTAGGCAGTGCACCGCCGTGTGCCCAGCACCACCGATTACGGGATCCACACTGTCGGGCAGACCAGGGCAGTTTTCCTACCAGGGAATGTGACCCCAGGTTCATCTACCCCATATCCCGCCAGATCAAGCTGTCAAGCCTTCCGAGCTGCTCCCGACGTGCCTGTGTCCTGTTTGCACTTGTGGGTTTGCTCTGGCTTCTGCAAGCTCCCCACATGGAGAAGCAGCGCAGGTACCAGCAGCTGGGAGAGAATTTAGCACAGAGGCAGTTGTACCTGTGTGCTTAAATTAATTCTGAAAATGAGCCAAGGACTCCCATTTCGCAGTGGCTGGGTCACCCCTGCCCAGCTCACTGCATGGGTCAGGGGAAGGCAAGGTTTGAGAACAGGGAGGGTGCTCCAGGGGCTGCAGTGACTTTTAGGCGTGATAAGTTATGCAAGTCACATCCGAGTGTCTGTCCTGAGGGGTCAGCAGTACCTAGCTCCATTCACAGTACTGAGCAGCTGCTATGACCTGGTGGTCCTGTCTCACCAGCCAGAAGCCGAGGCCAGCTGACTCTTGCTGGGCCAAGTATTAATCTTTAGGCACCGGGAAATGGGGAGATCCGGGAGGTCCTGGGGTGGAAGTGGGGAGGCTCAGGGGGTCCAGGCGGACTTTACAAACTGGCGCGGTGGTACTCAGTAGTGGAAGCCCTGGAGCAGCTCAACAGATGCGCACCAGCTGACGCCCATCCTGCCCGCTGCGGTTTCCTTCCCAGGACTCGGGGAGCCCACAGGCGTGCTGGGCCCCTGCTGTGGAGAGCTGAGCAAGACACTCGCCTCCACTGCAAAATCTAAGGGAACGTAAAAAAAAAAAAGCAGTAAGCAAGATAAATAATGTTTTGAAGGAGTATTTCCATGCAAAAAAATCCATGATGAACACAATCCCGAAGTTTACACGACGACAGATCGATGCAAGCGGTGTGCCCCTGGGTGGCTTCCTGACGCCCTCCTCCGCCGCCGACTTGCAGGTTCTGGAGAAGGAGCGCGCGGCCCGGCGGCAGCGAGGGCGGCTGCGGCATCTGCGGGAGCGGCTGCGGCGCAAGGACGCGGCGCTGGGGCGGCAGGCGGCTGCCCTGGAGCGCTGCCGGCGGAGCCAGCGGCGCCAGCTGGGGCTGGTGCGCGAGCAGGAGCGCGGCCTGCGGGCGCAGGTGCAGCGGCTGGAGCTGGGCGTGCGGCGCCTCTGCCGCGCCGCGGGCCTCCTGCTGGCCGAGCTGGCCGCCCCGGGCCCGGCCGGGCTCCCGGTCGCCGTCGACGAGGCCGCGGAGCTGCGCGCCCTGCAGGCGAGGGCTGAGCGCTGCGAGAGCGAGCGGGACGAGGCGGCGCGCCGGCTGCGGGAGCAGCGCGCCCCCGAGCGCCGGCTCCGCGGGCAGCTGGAGGAGCTGCGCTGCCGCATCTATGAGCTGAAGCTGTCGGAGATCGGCCTGCAGGGCCGGGTGGAGGACCTCGCCCAGCAAAACAGGAACCTGCTGCAGGAGCTGGTTGCCCAGGCCCCCAGGGACAGAGCGCCCAGCATCGCCTCTGCTGGTCACTGTAGCCTGGTAAGTGGCCACAAGCCGGGGCACGAGTGATTTATCGCTTTTTTTCTAAAGTTCTGGTACAGCCACTTGCTGAAGTCACTTACTTAATTACTCTTTCAGTGTCCAGTCTTCCTATTCATCTGCCTGTTCCATCCATCCATCCTTCGTCCCATCCAGCCACCTACAACCGTCTGCCCCATGGTCCTACCCATGCACCCTCACCCACCCATTTTCCGCACCGCACCCTCCCTCCCCACCTGGGCCCCTGCTCATCCACTTCACTTGCACACCCAGCCATCCGCTTGTCCACCCGTGCTCCCTCCCCTCCTTCCCCACCATCTGCTTGTCCGTCTCTCCAGGCAGCCAGTCAGCTACTCTCTGTCCCTCACATGTGTTCCCTCCAGACCGTCCATCTATCCGACATTCCATGGGTTCCTGCCGTGTGCCCAGCCCTGTCTAGGGGAGCTCCTTGGTGTGCAGTGCATGTCACTGCCACGTGCTGGGGCCGTTTCCCTGCTCCACGCCCTCCCTGTGGAAAGCAGTCAACCCATTTTCCTCCTTCCCATCTCCAAAGGTGACCGCGGTTCCCTGCACGGCAGTTCCTCACATGGTCTTCATTTCTCCTTCCTTAGACTGTGAGCCCCTTGAGGGCAGGGCCCGGGTCTGATGGGTCTTTGCAGCCATGCCTGGCAGCAGTGCACAGGCGGCCCGCAGGACTGGGCAGTGGAAAGCACATAGGGTTGGGTCCCTTGCTGGTTCTCCTGTTTACTAGCTATGTGAGCCTGGGCACGTTTCTTAAGCTCCGGAAGCAAGGGCAGACTGGGTGTTTGTTTATTCCCTTGACTGACAGAATAATAAAAATTTGCATTTAATATATTCCTGCCATGTGCTTGGCCCCCAGCGGGGTCCTTTCAAAGCCGTTGTTCCATCTAATGCTCATGCAGACTGTGACGCGGGTACTCCTGATACCCCACACCATGATGGGGAGGCTGAGGTTCAGGGAGGTGGTGCCCTGGCCTGCTGTCACACAGCTAGCAAGAGGCCGAACTGGAATTTGATCCAGATTTGATGGGCTTCCAAAGTACCCTGTTCTCCTGCACCAGGCTGCCTCCCCGGAAAGAGCACGTTAACTCAGCTCCCCTCCAAAAGCTAGGCATCCCTGCTTCTCTCCCCTGGGTCAGTTGGCACTTAAGGGAAAATGAGAGCCACCTTACCCAAAGGGGACTGCTCATTCAAAAAAATCAGATTTGTCTTTGGATTCAGACAATCTATTTTAAATTAAATGGAACTTTAAACTGTCTCCATTTTCTTAGGATAGTGAAGTTTATCCTGCCAAGATCATTTTAGTGCTGAGTTTGTCTGTGGTCATATTTTGTCTGTCTGTCTACTCTGTCATCTGCCTGTTGTTGCTAATCTGCTGCCCTGTTCTTTCTCCATTGTGTCCATCCGATAAAAGGAAAACAGTGAGTGTTTAATATTGGCAACATGTAATTTTGGAAAATAAATCATGTGTAGATGGAAATTGTCATTCAGAATTCTTTCTGTAATTTTCCTAAAAGTAAGACTGAAATTTCAGGCTGTGGCTTAAGACTTTATTCTCCCCATCTCGCAGTCTCTCCATACACTGTGACTCATTCTTTCTTCTAAGGAAAAGCTGAACTCTAAGGGACTCCTGCTAACATTTTGGATGTTCCATGTTCTCTCATGTACTCCCTAGAACTGCCTGTGAGCCAGGGGCTGTTATCCCACCGAGTAGCTGGGATAGCCGAGACCCGGGACGTTAAGGGACTTGGCCACAGGCACCCAGCTACAAAGTACTGGGGCCAGCACGGGGACATGGGCCAGATCAGAGCTGGGACTGCAAGCTGCTGCCGTTGCCTTGAGACCCTGGGGCCAGAGTTTGTTCCTGAGCATCTGGGGCCGTGTTGGTGGCTGGATTCAGGAGTTGGTGGGCCACCAGTTCGCAAGCCCCCCACGACACATCTGTGACCTTGGTGTTTCACACTCGCTGTTTATAGGTCCCAGTGCTCTGGGGACTGCATCTCACATGGGGCTCATGCTCTTGAGATTTTGCTGGAGATGCTGTGCACTGTCAAAAGCCTCTTGAAAATTCCCTAAATTGCCCATCAGTCGTGGTCCCCAGCCAGCCCTCCTCTAACGTTAGGAGAAGCCAGCCCCTTGTCAGCAGAGGAAGTTGGGGCTGCTGTTTAGGAACCTGTGGAAGAGAAAAGTGGGTCCCTCAGCATCGGAGCCTCTCGCAGGGTCGGAGCCAGTGCAGGTGAGATGCTCATGCATGAGAGGCAGGGGGGACCCCAAGCGGACGCCAGTGCGCCTCTGCCTCTTACCCACCGTGATGCCTCTGGGCAGGTTACTAGACCTTTCTGTGCCTCAGTGTTCCCAGGTATGAAACGGGAATGATACTGAGACTGGCTTTCTAGGGTGATTATGAGGATGAAAAGGAAGGTATGGGGAAGGCTCTTAGTGCCACACCCCGTACATCGTGAGTGACCTGTCACATCTGGCTTCTGTCCCCATCACCAGTGCCATCTGCCTGGGCTTGTGGTCGTCTGGTGGGATGTCGGGTGGGATCACCCGCTCTGCCTACACCCTAGTTCCTCTCTCGCTTGGCCTTTTGCTTGTCCAGGGCTTCTCCTGGACTGGAGTAGGTTAAGTGTGTGATCGTGATTCATCACCGTGATCTGTGGGGGCTGCCTGGGCTGAAAGGCCGGGAGTGCACGGGGCCTGTGGTCACCAGCTCCTCCGCTGCAGGGGCCCCCTGGAGAGGGCTGTCTGCAGTGTGGTTCTCCTGGTGAGCGTCGGAGAACCTGTGCTGGGAGGTGCGGGTCAGCTTGCAGGAGGGGTGAGGTGGGTGAGGCTCCCTCCCTGTCAGGAGACCCGGGGAGGGAAGGAGACTGGCCTTCATCCTTGGAGCTGGGCCCTCTTATATTCATAACAAGTACATAAGACCTGCCACCAGGCTGATGTTCTGCCTGCTTCATAGACGGGGAAGTGGGGACCCAGGGCCACGCAGCTCAGGAGCCAGGGGGTTTAATCCCAACCCCTGCTGTTCCTTCACGTCCAGCCAGCCTCTGGGTTGGGAATTTCCCAGGCAGCTTCTGTTTTTCATGCCTCTGCGTGCAGACCCCCAGTGGTAGATTGGAATGGCCCTGCAGCTATCCTGAACTTGGGCTGCTGGGCTTCTGAGACCACCATGAGGCAGGAAGTGACAAAGAAGGTAGGAGGGATGCAGAAATGACACAGAACACTGAGCAGCCAGGGCCTTGTCCAAGGGAGGCGAGCAGGAGGCCCCAGCCAGCCTGGAGGCCCCAGGAGACCATGTGCAATTGTGGCCTGCCAGGTGCACCCGCCTGGCTGGAGCTCAGGGGAAGGGAAGGGCCCCATCACTCTGATTGCTCCTGGAGGAAGTGCTCCTGGGAGTGTCAGCACCCTAGAGCTGCTGAGGCGGAGCCCGAGGAACTGAGTGCCTTACAGCAACAGACATTTAAAACGCCAACGCCAACGAGTCAGCAGGGTGTGCTCCCTCCGAGGCCTCTTCCGGCCTCTAGGGCTGCAGAGGTGACCCAGCTCCTGGCCCCAGCACCCCAGTCTCCGCCTCCATCCTCACTCGGCCTCCTCCCTGTGTGCCTGTGTCACTTCTCAGGACAGGTTGTACTGAATTAGGGCCCCTCCACCCCAGTATCAGCTCATCTTAACTTACATCTGCAAAGACCGTGTTTCCGAAAAAGGCCCCATTCACAGGTACAGGGGGGATCAGAGGTAGGACCTGAACATGACTTAGGGAGACAAATGTTATGTGTCAGGTGACAGCTCAGGCCTCCCCCCCACCTCCTTCAGGTGGTGTTCCCTCTTCTGGTCCTCCAGAGGTCCCCAGGCTTCCCTTCTCAGGGCCCTGTGGGTGCACTGTCACCACCCAGGATTGGGGTGGGGAGTGCACGGGGTGAGCCGCGGAGACAGCGCTGGGGGGAGCCAGGGTGCCTTGGCCTGCTTCAGCCGTCACCCCCTAAGGACCCACGTGCAGGGTGGTCGTCCTGGCAACAAGCACATGAAACCGTTTCTGGATCCATGTTACCCTCTTGGGGTCGTGCGAACGCAAGCCCCTCCCCAAGAGCAGCCTGTGTGACTGTGCACCCCCTACCCTGCCCTACTCGCTCCTTCACTTCTTTCTTCTTTCCAACAAAAGCGGACCCTTTCAGGACAGCACTGCCCTCTTGATCTTTTGTTACATCCTCTGTTCTGCACAGCACTTGGCACACGGAGGAGCTTGGTAAACATTTACCAAGTGCTTCCCCAAGGAGGAGGGAGGGAGGTGCACCCTATTCTCAGTTACTGGAGCCCCGTGGCTGCGGGCAGGCCCCTGTGAGGCTGAGAATCAGAGGAGCTGCGTTCCGGCCCATGGTTGACACTGTGAGCTCTGGACGGCTTTAGTGCCTGTGGATCCTGCTGGGCCCCAGGGTAGCAGAGCTTGCTATCTACCAAGAGCCCTGTAAAGATGGAACATCAGTTGGGTAACATTTCCAGCATAAGCATCATTGGGCGCTCACCCAATGGGCTTCTAGCAATCTGAAACGGAGCCCTGTGAGAACCCAGGCTGGGAGAGGTCCCGCGAGGAGAGAGCTTGCTTCCGCTGTGTCTGCTTGATCGTGGCTTGTGTGTTTCTTGCATCACATGCTCTGACTTGCAGGGGAGGTAGGCTCTCATCCCACTTGCTGAAGATCCCTCCCAGGGGCACTCAGCCCTGCAGGGAGCAGTTTCCTGTTAAGGCCAGACAATAATGGTTCCCCCAGGGGGAGACACGTACAGCTCAGAGGTTCCCCCACCTCGGGGGGCCAGTGCCTGGCTCTACTTCTTGGGACCCTGTAAGCTTTTTGAGTCATTTCATGTCTTTGTCTCCATTTCCTTATCGATCAAATGGGGACCTAGGCACTGAGTGAGTTTCCTGGGGCTGCTTGGCAAAGGACCACACACGAGGTGGGCCACGAGGGCAGGGCGGGGGGTGCACA